GTCCTTATGTGGCAGTGCGGAGCAGCGCGAGGGCTAACGCCCTGCAGAGTGAGGGGCTGTGCCAGCAGGGAGAGCCCCGGCGGTCCCAGCCAGGGCCTCGGCCGGCCCTGCTTTCCCCTCCACATGGCTGGAGGCTCCAGCGATGCGAGGCCAGAGCAACCCGGCTGCCCAGCAAGGGTGGGCAAAGCAGCTCCATGCTCCGGGAGCCTCCTCGGCCCCCGAAACGCTGCGCAGGCAGCAGCCCCATGAAAGTTCAAGGGCGCTGTGCAGACGTTATGATCAATTCCCAAAATGTGAAATAAAATGTTGCCCTTCAGTTGTCATGTAACGGATAACTACTACCAAAATCTAAAAATATTCACATTTTACTTATTTTTGGTATTCCCCTTTTTCATCTCTTAAGGAAAACAAAGCGGACATTTCCACGCTGAAGTTCAGTGTCCTGGAACATGGAAGAAGCTCCTCTTTACTATTGTCTACTAAAAAGGCTAAAAGTTTTGCAGTGTGTTTTGGACAAGCATACCATTGCTCATTATTTCTTCACGAGAAAGGTGGGTCCTCCTCAGAAAGACACAAAAATTAAATCAGAACAAACTAACAGTGCAAAATTTTGTGGTCCAGAAATGTTGGTCCCCTTTTGTTGCTCAGGAAAAAAAAATCTCTAGATCATTCACAGAACAGACTTAAAAGCAATTGGCCTGGTGCTAGATAGGATGCCAAGGCTCTGCACACGCAGGGCCAGCCAGGACACAACATTATATTTGTATGTATTGGAAACCTGCACTTTGGAATGGGGCTTCTACAAGTTTTGTTATTTCACATTGCAGGGCTCCAAAATCACAAACCAAGAAAAAGAGCAAGATGATGAGGGAAGGTACAATATTTTTTTTGCAGCTCTTTATGTGGGTCAGTCATGATGGCTTGAAGGCTTTAGTAAAATATGCAATAAAAAAGCAGCTTGCAAAATCTTTCTTTTTCAACAAGTAAAATATTTTTCTTCTTCTGTTTCCAGTGGTTTGATTTAAAGAGTTTTTTTTTTTTTTTAAACTCATTTTAGTAAAGTGCCAATTTATTAAAAATGGTCTAGAGGGCAACTCTCCTGCTCTGTTAGCAGTTTCCTGAGCACAAAATGGACTTAGGAAAACAGATTTCTTTTTGTAATTAATGATGCATTTATATGATTCCCAATGGGAGAATGAATACTTATAGAACTGTTGCTTAAAACATAATTAACATTTTATTTTAATAAAACAAAGAAGTCTAAATATCTACCATGAGAGTAAGGAACCTTAGCTGCAAATTTAATCGTTACTGTGCAAGAATAAGAAGCATCCCAATGAGAATAATAGAGTGGAAATAGCTTTCTAATCTATGGTCCACTTCTGCCCAAGACAGCAGTGTGCTTGTTAAGAACAACTTTAAATGTGTGTGTCAAGGCTATCCTGAAGAGTGTTATTTTAAGCTTTCTTGTTTTCTCCTTTTTTAAAAATTTATTTATTATTCTTGCACCAATAACATCAGCATTTAACAGTATTAAAACCAAACAGGACAAAATCCTGCTAGCCTAGCCCATAGCAATACTGCATTCTCAGTTCCCAGAGGTGCCTTACGAATTAGGTCAACTGATAGAGCTCTTTGTATGAGCACCAATTAACACGTTTAATCAGCCTGAATCTGAGTCATTGTCAAAGAAAAATTCAAGTTGGAAGGTCCCTCTGGAAGATGCCTAGTCCTACCCTTGGGCTGACAAAAAAAAAAAAAAAAAAAAAAAAAAAAAAAAAAAGTTTTTTAAATTGCTGCCCCCTCCCTCTCCAACCAGGGCAACGTCACAGTCAAACCAAGTAAGCAGAGCTCCTCCTTCACCATCGATCAATGTAGCTCAAATACACTGATTAGAGAGGCTAATATTTGATTTACCACTGAGGTTTTGGAAAATCTTCCCAGAGACCTTCTAAACAGAGGGTTTAGAAAAAACACACGTGGAAACCACATTATGTTAGCAATTTTTGAAATTCCTTTTGCACTGGCAGAAAGCATTCGATTGCCACATTTACACGTGACCTGCACCAGAGCATTTATGCCCACGCAACATGTCACAGGATGACTGGTTGGCATGGCTGTGCCCTGGAGAGAAAAGCACATGGATCACTATGGCTTTCAGAACCTAACCCTGAGGAGCACCTCCACACTGGGGATCTACTTAAGTTGATGCTGAGCCGATGGCTTTTACTTTCAACTGTTTGATGCATGTGTCCAAACTCTTTATAACCAAACCTGTGTCAGAGCAGGAAAACAGAGTGAATTCTGCTCAGTTCTCCTTATGTTCTTAGTTGTACTCATGCTCTTAAGCTTTTTTTTTTTTTTTCCTGTTACATCTGTAAACCTTGTTATGTCTCTGAAATGCTGCCTATGTGCCAATTTCTATATCTTTACTACAGAATGATGCAACTGCTAAGGCCAAAGCTTGTGAAGTACAATAAATAATGAGACAGGGTGAGACAAGTATAGGTGAATATAACAAATGTTGTGTATAGAACAGAAGCCACAGTCCTCCTGCATATGTATAAAAAAATAATGATACCCAGATCAGCTAAACCAGAATAGCAATTCTGTCCTAATTCTTGCTTAATTCAATAGGCAAAAAAGATTTCACAACTTAGATTAAAGTTGCAGCATAATGAGTTTCTCTAAGGTTAGTGAGCCTAGAATAAAACCCTGGGATCATTCTTTGATATCCTATTTAAACTGAGAGGAAAACCAAGTAGTATACTGAGCCACTATACTTTTAATATGGATTCCTGCTCTATGTGATGAGATACAGAAAAATGAATTCTTTGTAAATCAGACCCTTAGTTTTGCTTTAAAAGGTATACTTAAAGGACAAAGAAATTGTTGTGAATAAGACTAACGGTCACAAGCTGTGTAACCTCCTGAAGACTCATTTCACAAAACTGTCAAAGGGCAGGAAGGCTGCCCCTTAGCTGACTGGAGAAAAACCTGAAGATCAAAATATGTCAATACTTATATATATTTTTGCTGTTTTTTTTGTAGTTTTCTTTCTACACATTGTAATCTTTTGCTTACTCTTATCCTTGACAGAACTTATTTACTTTTCTCCTTTGTTTAGTAATAATTAGTGAAGCTGACACTTCAGTTCTGCAGATCCTGGCATGTTTTTTGAGATGTCAACCCTCCAGCCTCATTATGGGGTTTCCCAAGTGCCAAAGCATGTACTTTACATGCTATGACAGGGATTTGTTCAGCAGTGATGCGACGTTACACATCACATCTGTGGAGTGTAACCTTTCTGGCAGGTGAAATACAGTACGCTAATTAATTCAATAGCAATGTTATTTAGGAGGAATAAGCATTTGTAAGATGCTGGCAAAAAGAAATATGGTACAACAGCTGAACATGTCTTACAATCAAGTTTTAAATAGAAAATTGTCACTCAGGATTTCAGATTCTCCTCAGTGCTGGAAGAGTATAAAAGGACTTTTCACAAAGCATTTCTGCACTTTTTAAAAACTCTATCACTAAAAAACTTCAGAAGTCCGAAGCTGGACAACCAATAATCGCTAGTAACTTCAGATAGCTAATAATTTTGCCCATTAAGAAATTCCTTTATATATACATTTCTACAGACAACTCTTAGGAAAGTGAAGAAAATATTTTTCCCTTGATAATTTTATAATAAAATACTTCGATTTCCAGGCTGGAAATGGCTGCACCTAAAATAAACATCAGCAGTTTCAGAATGCATTAGTCAGCTTTACCTTTAGCGTCACTTAAAACTGAACCAAAGGCACTGATGACCACATCAGCTTTCAGGCGGACAACCTGATCCTCATCTTCTTTCCAATTTCCATCTTCACCTTGTTCAGTTCGAACAAACTCCATAGCAACAATGTGTTCACCTCTAAGAATCACTTTTCGAGGGGAGAGAAAAGGCAGAAATTCACACTTCTCCTCTTTTGCAAGTTCCACCTGTAGAATAAAAGTTAATAAAAATCTGAAATATCATTCTGTTTTCGTAACATAAGTTTTGACTCATGATGCCATACATTCTTATTTAGGAGAATGCATCTCTCTATGGTATACGGATAGTCATCTTAACATCGGTTTCAGAGTCTTCAGTGCTGCTGAATCAATTGCTTCTAGACAGTGACACTAAGAAGATTTACAATGGAAATATTTTTCTGATATATTTTCCTTATCAGTCCCTGTTAGTTTTAATGCATCCTTTGAGGGGAAAAGAGTTACCTTATGCAACCACCTTTGTCTTTTTAAAGAAGCCCAATATTAATTAAGATGATGGCCAAATCCACGTACCCTGCGATTTTAAGGTGGATTTGTTATCATATATTGAATATTATGTGTTAGAAACAGCTTTCTGAGTGACAATACAGACTTAAAATTTTCTGAATCTTAGTCTGATAAAGTAAAACCCCTGCTGAAATCAAGCAGCATTTGGTTGGGGGAAGATCTTCACGACTTGATTGTGTCTATTTATGTGACATTTGACATACTATTTCTGTATATCAAATATGCTATCTGACATCATTCTCGTGTGGCCCCTTCCACTTTAAGATATTTTGATTTTACAACTTTTTAGCCACTGTGTGACTTGGTCAGTAGGTACATCCGTGACTTTTAGGAACTGACACAGGCTGCTAACAGAGATCTGGGTACACAGCAATGACTGATTCTTGCTTAGCAAGAACCTGAAAAGCACACAAATGTCTTCATTGCAATGCCTTCTGGAACCTCATTACTTGGGGCTAGAAATCCAAAGGACAAGTAAATTATGCTGCAAGAGACCCTCTGTTCCTTTTTAAGCTTTTCCATTCCCCTTCTGTAAGTTCTATAAGATATTCACCTTTTTGAAAACAGGAAACTAAATTCCCTTCAGCTCCATGACAAAGATGCATTAGATGTCCTGTTATTGAAATTACACAAGAGTGCAGAGGATGCCCCAAATAAATTATAATGGAAAAAGATAACCCAATTAAAAAAAAAAAAGAAAAAAAGAAAAGCTTCTCCTGTAATAATACAGATACATTGAAAGGCCAAGTCAGCTTCAAAATATGCAGATGTGGGGAGAAATGACAAAGTGCAAAGCCAAACTGAAAATCAGATCGACCACTGAAATATGGGATGGATGACATTGCTTCATTGCCATTGGCAGCGATTCAAATCCAAAATAACTGTAATAATTTCCTTAAAAATTTTACAGATTCCCAAGGCAATGATACGATCACCGACATTCATTAGGTAGCAGCCAGATCATTCCAGGACTTATGACCTGAAGACTCACGTACAATACTTATATGGCTGCTTCAATTTGGAAACGCTTAATTTCTGGAGCTCTTCCAGGAGTTTAAGAATTTTTTATTTTCTAATTTATAAGAAATTCCACTTCCCTGCCTGCAAGTGCATTGCTCTGACTTTACAGGGAATGGTATGTGTACAATAGAGAAAAACAATTTATACAGAGATAAATATGACTCAGTTCTTTAATAAAGATTTAGACATTTTAAGATCAGTTTTGTTTTTTAAAAAAGTTTGGTAGATATAATTTAAGTACCTATAGAGCGCAATTTTGAGCCCTACAGAAAAAAACAACATTAGTAATCAATATTTCTTCTCATGTATGCTATTATTCAATTTTACCTCTTCTGGGACAGCCCTGATATTATTGAATCCCTTTCTGAATACCACAAATACACGACGAGCTCCACAGCGTAAGGCAGACGTTGCACAGTCGAAAGCAGTGTCTCCTGCCCCGAGTACTATCACAGTTCCATGTATTGATGGCAATGGAGAGTGACAGCAACACATCCCTGAAAGATGAAAGGAAAAACCCATTTTCAAGAAGAGAAACTGTTTCTGCATGACAGCTTAAGAGATACTTTTACACAAAGCAGTGTAAAATTGCATCTTTCAGTTTCCAAGCATGCAGTGTCACTATCAAATTATTGTGCTTCACTGAAAGACAGTTTTATTCCCATTTTTAAGATACACTTATATACATAATTTCCTAGTCAGTATCGTTAAGAGGCAGCACCTTTCTGTCTAGGAAGGAAATAAGCTCCAACACACTAGTAAGCCTGAGGTCCTATCAGGTTGAAATGAGCATTGTAACACCTTTTTACTCAAAAATTAAACTCCTCTTTCACCTCTCTCCCCATTAAAAAAAAAAAGTCTAAAGAATAATACCTTTCATTTCTGCTTTTTGTTTGTTTTGGTGGGAGAAAGGGAGGGAATGTTGAAAGCTTTGTGTAATAGTTTCTCAAATTTGCTTCCTTAGCCACACTTCTCTACAAGGCATTGGTTCTTAAGGGTTCTTAAAAGCTATGCTCTATGAGAGAAGACTGTGAGGCAGAAAGAATACTCCTACATAATTCCTACATCTTCCACTGGGAGAAAATGTTTAATCTATTAATAGTTTTCTACAAACTATTTGCAAAAAGCTACATTGAGAGAATAATGATGCTGTATATTTGTTGATCACCGTCTGTTTTTGATGATTTACTTGCATAAGAAATTCTGAAGTAAAACTGAACTATGTGGACTGCATGGACTTGACTGCACTTCCTCATCAGCTTAAGCACAACTTATGCTTGTGGATTAGACAAATTATTGCAATTTTAAAAAATGATATCATAAACACTGTAAAGCTATTTTCTCAATGAGCCTCCAATAATTTAAATCACAAGAGGCTGAGCTGACCATATAACCATGGCACTCTACTGCTCTGAGTATCCTGATACACCCGAGGCAGATTTTCAGACACAGTTGCAGAGAAACCTCAGTATCTAGTTTAAGGATACAGTGCCCTGAATTCAAACATATAAATGGAGGGAGAAAGGACATTGTACCATTCAGTTTGGTAATTAACAGACAACAGCAACAACGACATTGAGGTCTATCATTGTCAGGCAGAAAAGGGGATGTCTTCAGAGTTTGTAATTTTTTTTTCATTGTAGACTTAATATATAAAATACTGGCAAATGGAGAGTACTACTTTGCAACATTTTCAAAGACATTCATCCCAGTACTACAGATACTTATGCAGGCAGAAAACAAAGTACATGAGTTCAACATGTTCATACAGAATTCTTTAAAGTATTTTTAAACAAACAAGGAGGATCCTCCATACAAGGAGGATTGTTTAGAAGGATTTACTTTTCTTTTGTTAATCAACAAATGTTTTAGTGTGCATATTCTCAATCTGTTTCTTTTTACCATCTCTTTCTTCAAAACAGCCTTTCCTCCCAACTCATTTGAGCTTACGAAACCAGACAAAAATAAACTATTAGATCAAAACAGCAAAGAGGTGGGACAGATGGGATGCACAATAGAAATTCCCTTCCTAAATATTTTATATAAAAGGAAGTAGTAAACTTTATTTGCAGAATTATTCATTTTCCATAAGACATAAGTTCTTTAAGATGCTATTTGTGGAAAAATCTATTAAATAAGCAGGCAGCCCTATTTGATGCTAAAGTTTCTAAAGAAAATCAGTTTCTGGACAAAAAAGGTACGTGTGCTTAAATATGTGGTCATATGTGCAGGACCACATACAGCACTGAATATATATCAAAAAACTCTTCATTAATACTGTGGGGAATGCAGACTGTGAATGAGTGTGTTAGAAATCAAGAGGTCCCTGTGATACATCTGTGTGGGGACCCATGACCTGGCACTCAGAGCCACCAAAAGCAGCTATGGAACCTTTTGTAAAGTCAGGCAAATCTACACTCAAAACAAAGACATAAAAGCTAAAAGCAAGATTATATTTCATGCTTGTGGAACTGAGTTTTGTCTTATTTGACCCCTGTTATCCTGAGTCCTTAGTCTGTAAGTTCTTTAGGTAAGAGACTAGTGCTTCCTTAAACATGTCTGCAAAATACGCAGTATGACTGATCTAGAATGATTGTGCCACAGGTAAAACCAGTTTTTACAGTCAAAGCAGTCACTTATAGGGGTTGACAATACTTTCTTCTTCTTAGATCATTTCAAGGTCACCTTGTATTCACTATATGGTATTTATATCACAATGATAATTTATAGGAGGTAATGACACCTTTTGAATATAATTTAACATAAATACTGACCATGATTACATATCACCACGCACCTGGCTTACTTGCCATTGCTACCAAAGGTAGAAAGTCTTTAGATGTGTAGAATCCTTGATCCATTCTCAGTCCTTGGAACATACTGTCTCGGTTTGGTTCTGGCAAACCTAAAATAGACATTTTAAAGGAATCAGAATTACAGGAGAAAATGTAATGACAAAAATATGTTTCACATTACATACACTTTCTCAAAACCTCCTCTATACAAACAGTTTTACAAACCTCAGGTGTGAAGCTTGCAAAAGCAACATTGCAAATGACTGCATCTTCATGCTTATAGTTTGCAGATCCCTGGTATGCTTTTAATAGCACTGACAGTTAAATCTGTTGGATAACATATGCATGTAAGTCTTACCAAATCAAATGCAAGAGCACGGGATAGAAAGAAAATGATACATAAGGTTCAGAAGCAGGGAAATTACTGAGGAAGACAAGACTGTGGTAAACTTCTATCATATTACCTTCACACTCATTTAACTCATTGCTGTGAATTGCTTTTTTCAAAAATGCAAGGGGTTCTTATTTGCTGAGATTTATTTGTAGCTATTAATAATAGACATGTACACAGAAGCAACAGGACATAGCCAGGGAACAGTACAAAAGTAGCTGTCCATGGGTCAGATTCATCACTAACTCACTGAAATCAAAGGAGTTGGATTAAGGATGTATTGAATCCAATAATGTTTAGGCTGACTGCTATGATAAAAAAAGAAAAACACACACACACACACACAAAAACTAAGGAGGAGCCAATATAAGTGGCATTTCCTGCTATTTATACTACTATTTTGCAGAAAACTGCAGGAAACCCAATTTTGCAATATTTACATTTGAAGAAAATGCAGAGGATTTTTCTCTTGTACCTATAACCATCTGGCATAGTTTCAAGCTCTTTGCTAAGCATCCACTGTAAGTTCTACTAAATTATAATGTATCCCCCTTGCTGCATTATTATTTGCCCTGCTAATGATTACATTTATTTTGTTAAAAAGGAGAGAATGAGTATGGCATAAAAGCTACTAGTGCAGCTAAGAGAGGCAGACAGAAAAGGACAGACTGAGAAAGATCAAGAACTGGTAAGATCCCCTTTAGAGAGAAACTACTTCATAATAAACAGCTACCCTACAGAAGCTGGCTTTACAGACAGATCAAATATTGATAAGTAGCCAACAACCTTCCAGGGGAGAGAGCATTTGAAGAAAAAAATAAAACAGCTACAGGGAAAAGATACAGTTTACAGCAAACAGTTTTGGAGAAGAAATTAAATTTAAAAAATAAAGTCATCTATGAAAGACAGAATTTGGGTCAAAATAATGACCCAGAAGATAAATTATTTCAAGACCACTTTCCATTCAAGAGAAATACCCTTTAAAGATGAATTAAAGAGATCTTTTAGCAAGAGGGAGTTCACAAGCTAGTACAAAATAGCCAGGAGCCACTCAAGAAAAAATGCTTAGAAAAACATGAGCTCCTTCCCCTTACTTTTACACTCGCGTTAGTTTTAGTCAGTTCTCTTTTCTCCAAATCCACCTGCAAGCCATCTAAAGGCTTTTGCTTATTATTAGGTATTTCCTATCCTGAAACAGTCTTCCATTATTGCAGCTCTCATATCTTTAACCCATACCAAGGTCTGGAACTAACAATTATTTCCTTTGCTGGCAGTGAACAACAGCCTAAAAACACAGCACTACCAGTGCCACTCTGATGGACTCTGCAAGCAGCTATGCAAGGAGTGAGCTGCTATGAGGCCACTGCCTTCCAGAGCCAAAGCTCGCTCTCTCTCTCTCTATATTTGTATATACACACATATAAATACACATATGCATATATACATATATATAAAGCACATGCATATATTCATATATAACAGCATCTACATATATGTCAGCACTTCTTATTTTTGCTCTCACATAATACTCATGCATGGCAATTTGCTAAACCAGAGGTGTCAAGTTCATGATCTTTATTTACAGGGAGCCATCTTAGAGTCTTCTTTTACCTTTCCTTCTAGTCTAACCCAAAACTGAACCACCAGCTGCAGCGATGCACGCACAGGGCAAGGGACCGGCCTTAAGAGCAACGCGTCTAGTCCAGTTGGTTGCTGCACCAAGTAAATCAGGGCTTGTCCACACATCAGTCAGCTAAGGAAAAAGAAGAATGGCTGCTGCTATTGCCATAACTATTGCCCAGAGCTGGAAAGGGGGAGCAGAGACCCAGCACGTGTCCCTCCACGTGTTATGATCACATCCAGAGGCCCTCCACATGTTATGGCCAAATCCCCTCTCCCAGAAACAGGGATACCTGCTGAGCCTCAACTCCGTGTTTGGATGACTTAAAGCTGAGGTGTTTTAAAATTATTTTCTAAATTCATCATTTCTCTTCTGAAAGCATCCTTCTAAATAGCAGAAAAGGCTAGAATACCTGTTTTGAACCATCTCCCTGCTCTTTTATGCACTGATCTTTCCAACTTCCTCCTTGTGTTCCCATATAAAATTATTTCAAATGTAACACAGTGCCTGATAACATTCTGACTTGGCAAGAGTCTTACAGATACAGGTAGCTTATGGTCAGAGGATGATTACAAAGGCGTATGGCAGAAAAAGAAGGGAACATATTGCAAATTCAAAGCACATAAGCATCCTTTAACATTCCTGAATGCTCTGTTCTTCTTCAACAAGTCTGGTCTGTGGTCTGGGGAAATGGAGATCAAAATCTATGTATATAAAGCAGTTTTATTCTATGTCACACAATCCATGAATTGTATGAATTGGCCCATGAATTTTAAGTACATTAAAGATTTTTTTGAAAGATCACATTGAAACTATATCCTCTTAACTGACAGATTTAGTTTTCCCTAAACTACTTGCATTCAGTGGCATATTTGCCTATGTGTTTATAAGTCACATTTATTCACATCAACATTGATGACATTGCTTTGCATGGGTCAATATAAAACAGCGTTTGAGGTGTGAACTCCAGTGGAAGGCGTTTCGGCTGCGCCGCAGCCGCTTGCACCCAGGTCACCATTTCCACTCACGTTATGACAGACACCAGAACTGCAGCTGAAAGCCACTGCTATCTACAGAGTTACTCTCTGCACATTTTAAAGGTTTGATCCTGCAAAATGAAACTCTTAGCAAAGTTGCAAATGCTCTGCAGGTGCTCAGCTTCTCTCAAGGTCAGTCCATTAGCGATTAACACATTAGTAAATACTTTTGAGGCTTATATTTTTAAAGGATCTCTCTCATTTGCCAGGGAATGCTTTTTTATTTATGGTGGCAGCTTTGTTAGTTCCTGTTGTGAGGTTCAATAGAGTATGTTTTCTAGGTGGCTGATTTTTTTTTGTTTGTTATGTATGTTGATGGAGATAAGTGTTTTAATTACTTTTTAATGTGTATGGTTTTGTATTTTCCTCCTCTCTCCTTTTATTTCCTGCTGTTGAGATTACTGCCTCATCTCCACAGCAGGTGGCTCTTTCAAATTTGTTTTCTTTGTAAGCCCGGTAGATTTATTTTGTAATATAACTGCTCTTTTTTACTGTTTTTTATTAATGATTTCTTTACTTTGGAACAAGGTATACTTCCAAGGTCCATAAGAGTAATTCCCTAATGATGGCTAAGGGCTTTGTTGATAGGAGAAGACACTTGCGTTAGTGCTTTCTTACCCTCACATTAGGATGAGCGCTGTGTACAAATGTAAAAGGAGGCCCTCAAATCTATCAATGAGATCCACAGACAACTGCTGGAATACACACTACGATGTACACTAACATAAACACCACAGTACTTTTTGTTGTCCAAATAATTAGCTGAACCTGTAAGTAACATGGTCCATAGGTTCTAGGCTTTAAACTCCTAGAAATTGGCACTGAAAGAGCAGGAAAAAGTGCCCAGAGACCAGCCAGAATGAAAGCTGTTTTTATAATCCTAACTCTCTTTAAATACCACTGGTCAATTCCTGTTTAGATGTGGCCAATATTTCACAGGAGCCAGTCATCAATCTCCAAACAGGAAGAGCAGCCAGAATTTAGAATTAAGCCATATTTGTGATGGAAATTAGAATATGACCATGCAATTCGTGTCCAGTGTCTGAACTTGAATTATAAAACCATGCAGCCTTACGGTCAGTTCTCAAAGCATTTAGCAATCCTATGATCAGACCAATCAGACATCCATACAGAGTGAAATGTCCAAAGGCAAATTATTACTTTTTAGACCCATTACATCTAAAAATAAAGTCCACATTTAATTTTATAATTAGTCTATTTCTTTTCAAGGTTTTGCACACCTTCCACAGTCTACTTCTAGTCTTAGTTGTTCTTAGTAATTCTATTCCTGTCAACACAGGGGACCTGGTCCTCTACTTAGAGTGTTATTGGAATAACACTGAAGTATGAGTGAGCATATGATTTTCACTATATTTTAGTGAAAATCACTGGGGTGTTTTGGGATGATTAAGCAAAGATCTGAAAAAGCAATGTGGTGATTTTGCAATCCAGATAAATGCCAAAGACTTAACCATCAGGGAGAGCTCAGCACTTACCCTCTTAAAAGCACTCTCTTAAATTGCATACCTCAGAACTGAAGCATACAGTATCGCATTTGGAACATAATTCTTTAAAGGACACTCTTGAAGTGATATAAGACTGGACAAAAATATACAGCTTCCTAAAATAAGGAGCAAATGGCAATTGTCCTATTTCTTCTCAGGTTAGAAAGTGATATTTAATGCTTCCAAGTATTCAAAGTAATAGTCAAAGTGAGGATCAGTAAGTTAAAAGCAAGTCCCTTTGAAAGAGTGATCTGAAACAGCACAACTACAATGAAATAAACCTCATCACAGAACAGGATGAATGGAGAAGTCTGCTCACCTTCCCCTGGGTTCTGTTCTGCCCAGTATTGTTTATTGCAAGACTTAAAATACTGAAACAGTTTGCTATGCATCTTGATTTGTGGAACACGAGGTCTGTAAATTGTAATGCAGCATAACTGAAAAACATCTGCTGTAAAAAAAAAATAAAGCGAATATTGCTGCAAAACTCATGTCATCTGAGCAACATTTATTACAACTGGCTACAAATCTGAAAAGGTCACTAGCAAAACTGCAT